TATTCTCAACAATTTAGATGAATGTATTCTGTCGAACAAATCATATAAGGTAAATAATTACGTTGTGGAATGAAATTTTTGGTCTCTCTACTAAGGTTTTTTTTTTTACCCAAATGATGTTATTCACACTAATGTTAAAGGTTGTATAAAGGATCTCTTTAGATTTCCATTCTGCAATTGCTTATGACATTGTAGTATCTGAATAAGATGTTTCTTAATCAATATTAGCTTCCAAGAACTGGGAAATAAAGTAGCTTCTAAACCTATTCTATAATTTACGTGTTAAAATACTACTGGTCAGGCCTCCTGTAGTTGCCAAATGTGATCGGAAGCGAATTCTCTCATCTTGGGCCCCACTATGTTCTAATATTACACCCAAGGAATTTCAGATTGAGTTCTCGAAAGTTCGGTATCTTTCTCCACGCCAATTTGTTGAGAAATTATCAGACGAGCTTGGAGTTGGTGGGGTTGTGGCAGGTATTGCCCATTATTCTTTTATGATACATATATATATATATATATATATATTATATATGTATATATAAAGGTTTATGAATCAGCTTGAAATGTAATATGATGACAGGTGAGAACTACCGGTTCGGGTATAAAGCTGCTGGCGACTCGTCTGATTTGATTCGATTGTGCGATGAATATGGCATGAAAGCCTCTATAGTAGATTCAGTCATGGATAAAAAGCAAGAGCATTCCAAGGAGATTGATCATCATCATCATAACGGAACAATTAACGAGCGAGGCCAAGTATCATCCACTCGAGTTCGCCTTGCGCTTGCCGATGGTGACATGAATTACGTGTCACAACTGTTGGGCCGCAATCATCGCCTTATGATGATGGTTAAAAATGAGGAAAATCTTTTACGAGATGGTAAAAAGTTGTCGGCTTCTAGGTCGTGTTTGTTGAATCTTCCACCCAAAGAAGGTTTTTATAGTAATTGTTCTCTAGTGGTTGGGGAAAACGAGAGTTTCGTGCCATGCAAAATCGTTATTGATACGACAACTATTCATATGGAACTCGACGAATTATCATCTCCTCACATAATTTTTTCGAATCGGAACTTTGACTTGTTGGGGATTGAATTTGGTGACTCCAAAGTTTGATATTCTAATTCTATATAGATTTTGCGGGATTGATAGTCCTTTTTTTTTTTTTGGTTGGGGTCTACAAATAGGAATGCATAAGCAAGAATCAGATTTTTGTTTGCTTAATGATATGTAGAATAAGTAGTATCCTTCTGATTCTTTGTGGAGGAATTGTTTAGAATAAAAATGCACATTTCTGGAATGAAATATTGAAATGTTATCCACAGTAAACGGTATACCCTATTCTCTCGGAAGACTCTCCTTCACAAGTTAGAATAGGAACTCAAGACCATCTCCAGGCAAAACCATACCGGTCTACACAGACCAGTGGCATTGTGGGCCTCGATGACAATTTGCTCCCGGGCTTTGAGGGAATCCAGCCTGCTAATCTTTGGATGGCAAAGCTGTCTCAAATACCATTGAAATGCCCTCTTAGAGTATGACTTGTTCTGATTGTTATAATTATTTTTCTCTATGTAATTGTCTAATAAAAGTTTTCCAGGAGTAGGGAAAGGTTGTGTTTGTGCACCTTCCGGAGTATGCCGGTAAAAGTTCGGTCTTTCTATGAAACCTGATTATTGAGCTTGATCGCTGATTCATCATCCATGTATATTACAGGTTAAATTTGGTGGGCCATATAATACACTGATTATTTGTGGCCGTGCCTGACTACTAAACTCGGCCTACGATCGGACTCTTCACGAATTACTATTTGTGGCCGTATCAGAATATATACGTGCCAAACTAACTGCAGCAACGAGCGAGGACACTTGCATATAGCTCTTTCCAAATGTGCATGAAGAGGTGTATAACTATTTGCAAGCCAATTTGGAGTGTATATCTCTGTTTGATGGCTCGAGAAAGCTGAAGGGTGTGTGGAAAGTGATGAGCTTAGTGTGATGATCCAGAATCATACCTCATTCGGGCTACTCAGGTGTGTGGATTATAAGCATCTACTCAGGTGTGTGGATTATAAGCATCCTTAGTAGGGGTGAGTATGGGTCGGTACAGTTCGGAGATTGAGAAATATTCAGAATCGTATCAAAATTCGGAGATTGCTAAATTCAATCTCCGAAACCGTACCAAAAAGTGGCGACGATTCGGTTTGGGGATTTTTATTTTTCGGCTCGGTTGGGTTCGGTTCGGTCTGTGTTCGGGACTATAGGAATTGTTCGGTTCGGTATGGTTCGGTTCGGATCTTTTGAGATTTCTTATTTTTAATTTTTTTAATGACTACATAGTTATATTTTAATTTTTATATGCTTTACAAAAACAGTATTCATCAATACTTTACTTTACCATATTGAAGATTTTATTTTGTAATCAACTTTAGAAGTCACTTTACATTTTAGTTATTTATTTTTATATGCAAAATCAATATTCATCAATACTTCCTCATATTAAAGATTTTATTTTAAAATCAACTTTATAAGTAACTCTAGATTTTAGTTAAGATTAAATTTGTTCAACTAATATTGAAAATTTAAAATTCAAACAAAATATAATATAGTTTTTCTTTTAAAAAATATTCTCTAACCATTTATACCATTTTAAATAATTTTTTTATAACAGAAAAATTCAATTGTATATCAAGTATTTCTAAACATTAAATTTAAGTGAAACTTAATTGTTGTTACTATATTTTATTTGCATTTTAAAAATTGTCAATTATATATCAGAGTTGACATAAAATATATTAATAACACACATCTAATGTTATAATTCGGTTCGGTACGATATGAGACAGTTCAGTTTGATTCTCGATACGAATATTTGTGAAATCTCCAGAATCGTACCATTTATTTTTTCGGCTCAGTGGAGAAAGTCAAACAATCAATGGTTATTTTTCGGTCTAGAGTGATTTCAGTTCAATTTCGAAACAGTTCGAAAACCTCCGAGTCCCATACTCAGCCTAACCTTCAGTTTTCAATTTGATTAAATGAGAGTTGGGTCTTCCGACAAACACTAGCCCAAGAACAAAGGGCCTAATGAGACTGGACTGCGGGCGGTATGAACCAAAATATCAGACAAGGAACTATAAATTAGGACGTGCCTAGGGATGTCAATGGGGAATTCCCCATCGGGTTCTGCCCCCCATACCCGGCCCCGAGTTGGGGAAATCTCCCCCATGGGGATCCCCGAAACTACTCATGGGGATGATTTT